TCCCTAAACGATTTCGACGTTAGGCTCGATCTCGATTCGGCGGGTTGTTTCGGCCTTGCCCTAGCAATGACGATGGCGAGAGACAAAAATACCAGGCCCATTAACCCTTTTAACTTGCCATTTACTGTGATTTCAAATCTCAAATCCAGGCCAGTCGCATACCGTAAACTGACGCTTATAAGCCTCCTGCCCCTTCCCCTTCATCAGTTATAGGCCCATCTACCTGTAAACAGAAAATTGCATCCGCTTATAAGCCCCTCGGATAAAAGCCCCTCTGCAAATGTATTGAAATGAATTAGATTTTATTGTGACGTTTTGAAGCACAATTAAACACCAGTTATTATTCATTCAAAATGCCTCTCCGTTTCTGATTGGCTAAAAGCACACGCATAATTTACCATAACCAGCTACTGTTGACAAAATTTGGAAGAATCTTGCGATTAATCAGCCGAGAAGGCCTGGGGACAAAGTTGTGTTGTTTTGGTTGTGAAAAAAAAATGGCCGAACAGTCGGCGGAACATTTTACTCGTTTTACGACGAACTATTGTCTAAAAAAATTTCAAGAAGACAACTCGACGGACAGCATCTGCTTTTTGGAGTATATTTGCAGACCTGAACAGCCCTTTATCTTCGAAACATGCACTATCGAGGGGAACTTAACATCAACGAAGGTGAGCACGTTTTTGCTTGTTTTTAAACTAGGAGTTATTTTGTATGAATAATAAAGCAATTAATGAATTCGACTTTCGTAGGATTTATAACAATTATTCACCGAAGTGGAGGTAGCTAGTGGCAATAATTGTCCGAGCCGGGAAGCGGCAAGGTAAATATTCACCACTAGCCACCTCCACTTCGGTGAATAATTGTTATTTAGTATATACTAAAACAGTGAGATAATTGAGCACAAAAAAGATGATTTTTAACTCATTTACTGTTGCCCACGATTACAATTTTAGCGCGCAATTACCGAACGGCCGTCGCGTTTTCTTGCCGGCAAATAAAACTTTTGAAGTCATTTGTTCATTTCGTCAAAAGGAGTTGAAATTCTCTTAGTATTTAAAACCATTCTGTAAAAAGAATTATTGAATTAAGTTTTAAGCTTATTTATGACTAAATTCCGCTAAATAAAGTAACGCAAGACTTAAGCTTAATTTGCATTTGTAAATAAAAATAAACTTTTTCACCGGTTTCATCGATAAATTCAAGTCAACCAAACAAAGCTTCAAGTGTTAAAACTTCCACCCCGACGTTTGTCGCCTTCTTCGTGTATTTCGGGAAAAGCTTGTTTGTTTGTTTGATTATTTGTTAAATTTCTTTGTTTGTTACGGCAGCAAACCGAGAAGCCATTTTGCTCGTTACTTACCCGAGTTGGGCGTCGCTAGCTCGGAGGAACTGGAGGTGAATCAGTGAATAGTGCAGGATATTCCGAGATTGAGCAGCCAATCAGAGCGCGCGAAAAACACTATCCACTGTTTTAGCATATACTAAAAAGAATTATGCAGATCTCTGAGTGTGTTATCCACCAGGCTCAAGGCCTCGGTGGATAACACCCTCCTCGATCTGTATAATTCTTCATATCCTAGTCACCTCATTCATTAATTGCTAATTAATGCAAAACGTATTTGGATCAGCACTGCTATAGCTTGTTTCGAAGCGCTTTTTCCTATTCCGGTTATATGCTCCCTCGAATATAAACCCCTCCCTTTATAAGCCCCCCTAAAACCCGTCACGAAGATGTGTAAGCCTAGGGCTTATAAACAGCAGTTTACAATAACTGGTCTTGACTGGTTTGCTTTGATTTGGCCTTTTACGGAAGTAGAACCAGATATTTTAGCCAAGAGCCGAACAAAGGCAACAGACCTTTTTACCAATACGGCAGCCATATTGAATAAATTCGATTTAAGGAGTATTATAGGATGCCCAGGGGGCATGAGCACATTTCGTTTGTATTTTCGAGCGCTTTTCGGGACATTTTTTCTTAAAGTTTTCTTAGAATAAGATTCTAATGGGAAGAAAAGATCCTTGTGCCGTGTTTGGATGTAATAATGATCGCCTTTTTCCCGAGAAATATACAGGGAAAGACCATATTTCTACTACTAAACTAGAAAAAGGCGATCATTCGGTACATCCAAACACGGCACAAAGATCTTTTTCTCATTACAATCTTATTCTAAGAAAACTTTAAGAAAAAATGTCCCGAAAAGCGCTCGAAAATACAAACGAAATGTGCTCATGCCCCCTGGGCATCCTATAATACTCCTTAAATCGAATTAATTCAATGTGGCCGCCGTATCGGTGGAAAGGTCTATTAGAAACTCTCTCACACATTTCAGCTGCTATAAATTTGGCAAAAGTTGTCTCCCGCGAGGATCGCTAAAGCGATCCGTAATCTCGTTTTTGTCATATATACTTTAGACTCTCTTAAGGGACACCCAGAGTTGTTTAATGCAGCCTTTCTTTACTCCCTTTATTTGGACTCAGTATAAAAGACGGATATCACTATTAGACGGACACTTATTGCCAGTCACGAAAGTGGTCTTCTTTGAGAGAGTTGACTGTATTTCTAAAACACAATGAAGATTGCTTCGCTTATTCTTGGAGTGCAAACAAGTGCAGAGCTAAATACGAAATTAAAAATAGATATTTGTAACTCGAGCTTCACGGTTGGAGTCCCCAGTTGCCTATCCATAAATGTTGGGGCCGTTTTAGCGATCAAGGAATTTTTTGGGCGACGAATTTCGACTGCAGAGGCACTTAAAAGGGAAAATAGCAGCGATTTGGACCATTAGCTTCAAACTGGGAGCGGAAATCGAGGTAAAAGAACACTTGTACCAAGACTCAGTCCACAGAAAAGTTTGCTTTTGATAGCCACAAGTGTTGGAATTTCGACTTTTTATCGTCAAAAACTTTCCCTAATGAAGCTAAATAAAAAGGAAAAAAATGGAAAAGGAGTCTACATGACAGGATATTCGCGGTTAATAGTAACCCCACCGGTCAGAGCCTAACTAGGGGAAAATTTCTATTCATCATAAGCTCGGCTTCTCGGAGATTTCCCCGCCACAGGCAAAAATAATAAAGTAACTGTGGCGGCCTTATGCCGCATTCAGGTAAGTTTTTTGTGGGAGACATATTACTAGTAACATTTTTAAGGGACTCCTTCCCTATTTAGATAATTTTATGATATGCGAAGTTTGGATTTAGGTAGTCTGTCTATGGCATTTGTCCACGGCTACCCCAAGCTCACGAGTAAGAATCGTTGCTGCGTAGCAGAAACATAGGAGTTCGTATGGAGATTTAAGCGATCGTTAATTAGTGGTAAAAAATAGTAATAAAAATTCATCAAAATTTCTTACCTTTTCTCCTTGTCTGAATTTATGGTGTCTTCTTAGCATTTTTGGCCGTTTTAGGGCGATTCCAGCGAGATTTAGTTCTGCCGTTGTTCGTTATATGTGTTGTGGTTAAATTTTATCCTTGGTTTAAATCTTATTTTCTTTTGTTTCAAACTCATTATCATACATTACCATACCCCAAAACAAAAGAAAAGAAAATTTAAACCAAGGATGAAATTTTACCACAACATATATATATAACGAACAACGGCAGAACTAAAATTCGATATACCATTCTTGCATGGAGTTTATTTTAATCAATACCATTAACAGCTCAGGATTAATTTAACCTAAACGATCATCTTCATTCGTATTCATATACTTTAAATGGCAGTTTATGTATCTTTTATCCTATTTCACGGATAGGAGTAGCTGTACACTCGAGCCAGAAAAAAGTGTAATTATAGTAATGGCCTGGTCATTATAGATTTCTCAGAATTTTAAAAGGGAGTGGTCTAATGTGAAGTATTTTCAAGAAATCCCATGACTAATAATTTAAGAACAATTCTATAAACCAAGAAATCTTCCAATCTCATTTTAGAAATTGTTTATAATTGCATCACGTGACCAGCCACGCCTCTTTTTATCGAGGAATTTGTTGAGTGGAAATTCCCACCACATAAAGCCGGCAAGCCGCTTTTCATTTGTAGGTCCAAACAGTGGCTACAGTTAGTCTTCTTGTAAAAACGGTTGGAATGAGATGATGTCAATAAGCATCTTTCTTCTGACAAAAATTTTGGTCAGAGGAGGACTGGCACTAGTCAATGAACACCAATTACACCTGCCAATTGTAACGCTTTGAATCATTTCGTGCTGATGTCGTAGACACTTTATAGGGTCTGTTTTGATACAGAGAAACTGGAGCTACACGTTTGGCAAGTAGTGAGAATCGTTGGTTACGTGGAATTTTTGAACAATAGAGGGTGTGGTCGATCACATGACCAATTATTTTGGGGTTTTTTTCGATTTTTTTTAGTTTACTTTACCTTACTGTCTATAATTCCTCGTGCATGTCTTTAACAATGGGTTTCGGAAAATGTGCAAAAAAATTATAAATGACCTAGATACAGGCCTTAATCTACTTACGGTATAGAAAAATTAGTAAAAAGAAGGCAGTAGACAGAAATAAGTCATACGAAACGTAAAACAGAAAACTGAAAACAGAACTCGGGAAACAGAACGGGGAAATCAGAATGCAGTAAACGAAAAACAAAAGTCAAAAAACAGAAAGAAAATTGTTCTCTACGCGCTCTCAACACATGCAAATATAACACTTTCATCGGAGCTTTTCTTTCTCTCTGCTCTCAAATAGTCATGTATTTACATATAATATCCTCGTAATCTGTTGTAGGCGTTACGTTTATTCACTTTAAAACTTTATTTCCGAATCACTGTCTCTAAAGCTTAACTAGTTTTTTTGCCGTCGTACGCAAATATGCAATCTCAAACAACTTTACTTAGTTCCATTTCAGAGCGCAGCGTTCGAGATAGTTATCTTGCTGCTCTTTTGTAAATTGTTTGTATCAGTATTAAGGGTTGTGCTCTATTGTTTTTGTTTTCGTTTTCGTGGTTATTTTCCTTTCATTTTCTGTTATTCAAAGCTATCGCAGCATGTCAATGAAGTATTTCTGTGAGTGTCAGATTGCTGTAAATGTGTTGATAAATTTTGCCACCAAATTAGGTCCTACTTATTCTGGCAATATGGGGCATGATAACGAGTTCAATCTTTTGTCGACAAATGTTCGTGGGATTCGCACTTTTGAAAAGCGGAAAGCTGTTTTTAGTTGGCTTGTAAATTCCGATGCTGACATATTTTTCTTGCAAAAAACATACAGCGCTCGCGATATTGAAAATATCTGGAGAAAACAATGGAAGGGCGAAGTGTTCTTCTCTCATGGCAGCAATCATAGCAGAGGCATTGGTAAGGGATAATTTAGATTTCAAAGTACATTCTATCAAGGTAGATTCTCAAGTCCCGTGCAAACGGACGCAACTTTGTTCGCCAACAACTCCCAACATTGTTGGATGTTACATGTTGCGTCCGTTTGCACACCCTTTTGCATGTTGTTGGATGTTGTTGCGTGTTGTTGAGCAAAGTTTAAAACCGGTCAAACTTTTCAGCCAACAACTCCCAACATTTTTTTTGTACCGTGATCGCCAAAGCGTAGCGCAACAATGTTGGATCCGTTTGCACAGCTCTTCCAACATTGTTGGGGCCGGGCACGCTCATTACGCATGGTTTACAAAGACTTATGGGCTGTATCCTTCCCACGATGCACTGCAGGTCCCAACATTGTTGGGAGTTGTTGCATCCGTTTGCACGCCACTGCCAACACGCACGCAACAACTCCCAACATTGCTGACGCAACAATGTTGGGAGTTGTTGGGTCCGCTTGCACGCAGCCTCAAGGTCGCTACATTTTTTCAGGATTCACCTTACTTTATTTTAAACATTTACGCTCCAAATAAGTGAAGTGAACAATTTCTCTTCTTCAAAGACGTATTGGATATTCTAAAAGGTGCAAGAGCGGAACAAGATCACCCATTTATACTCGGTAGGGACTTTAATGTCATTCTTGACCACGTTATAGATGCGCAGGGCGGCAATAGTAAAAGGAAAGACTCCAGAAAAATTATTGATGTCCGCCATAGTTATTAGAGGAGACTGGTTATGAAAAGCGGCAAACATCAATGATAAAAACAACAGTGCTGCAGTTTATGTTCAAAGCACCGTGAAAGTGCACAATCCTTTGTTTTCTGTTGGCAAATTGTTACGGAATAAATTAATGCAACGTTTTTATTGGTCAATACAATCAAAATGATAGGAATTCTTTTGAACGTTGTGCACTTTCAGGTCCACAAAAACATATAACAAAGGAGTCTGACGGGTTTCATAACCATTCCACTCAATTAACTATGTGTCCGCTGAGCTTGATTTAGTGGACATCCGGCGCATAAGAAACCCCACAGTTACACGTTTTACTTGGCGTCAAAAGAAACCAATCATACAAAGGCGCTTAGATTATTGGCTCGTAAGCCGTGATGATAGTTCACAAGATGACATAGATTCAGTGGACATTAAAACGTCAAATCAGACCATTCAGCAACAATAGATGATCTTGAAAAATGACCTGATTTCTGGAAATTTAATTCAAACCTAGTAAATGATTCGGCTTATTGTGAGCTTTTAACTATTAAAGTATATGCCAGTTGGTTACAAGAATTCAAACGTGTCTTATGGGATTTGATTAAATACAAAATTAGACAGCAAACAGTCAGATACAGCAAAACTAAAGCCCGCGAAAGAAGAGCAAAACTACAAAAGCTTGGTGAGGAGGATAAAAAGGAATGTAAGGAAAAATGCGATTCCGATCCGAATACAAGTTAAAAAAACTGGAGGAACTCGAGTGTCTTCGGACGGAATATGATACTATGTATGATTATATTACACAAGGTGCGATCATTCGTTCTCGGGAAACTTGGTACGAATTGGGCGGGAGAAATAACAAATATTTTTTGAATCTAGAAAACTCCAATATAAAGAGAAGCACATTGCGGAAAGTGTTTAACAGGGAAGTTCCGAAGGAAAGCTAACTACAGACCCTAAACAAATAATGAATGAGTTAGAAGCATTTTATTCTGACCTTTCTGATGGTGGTGCATGTGCAAACACGGGGTCGTGTTCCTCATTTTGAAGTGATCTCAATGAAATTCCTTCTTTGTTGGGGAGGAGAAGAAAAACGTTTGTGAAGTCAAATTGGAACACGGAGATTGTTACAATGCTTTGCAGACCTTCCGAACTGAGAACAAACACCTGGAAACGACGGCTTAAACGTCTTAACTTACCTTGTTTTTTGGCCTGTGTTTGGACGTTTGTTGGTTGAAAGTCTAAATTATGCCTTTGAGTACGGAGAGCTTTCAAATTCACAGAAACAGGCGGTTATAACTTTAGTTGAAATGAAAGGAAAAGACAAAAGGCAAATAAAGAATTGGCGTCCAATATCTTGGCCAAGCGGTTGGAAAATGTTCTCCCCGAAATAATTCATTTTGATCAGAGCGTCTTTGTCAAGGGGAGAACTATTTTTGATGCCATCAGAACAATGGACGATGTGATTGAGCATACGATGAACAGGGATATATTGGGGACCTTAGCGGCCATAGATTTTGAGAAAGCTTTAGATGTCTCTGGGAAGGGCATTTAGGCTCGATTTCGGCCGTCTCCCGGGTCTGGTCTTTGATCTTCCCCGAAGAGAGACTGAAACCAACAAAGGAAATCGCACGCGTCTAGCCGCTCCTTCGGGGGAATGAATGCGGACTCATTTTCCCGAAAAGCGGCTGGTAATCGAGCCTAAAGGGCATTTGGATGTGAATGATCTTTGTGACATCATCAAGATTCTAGGTGTTTATTTTGGTGGTGATGCTAAAAAAAGAGAAGAATTGAACTTTTGCAAGACTCTGGAATCAATTAAGAAAACGATTAACTTATGGAATTGACGAGGCCTATCTCTTATAGGCAGAATACAAATTGATAAAACTTTTGCCATCCGTAAGCTTATGTTTAGAGCATCGGCTATTCAGTCTCTAAGGACCTCGTGAGAGAAGCTGATTCGATCTTTTATCGTTTTATTTGGGACGGAAAGGACAAATCAAGTTATATCTGGAACAACAAGCTAACAACAAGTTTATCTGTGTTGATAAGAAACATCTGTTTACAGAAGAGATATTGCGGATCAAGGCTTCTGAAAAATCTGGGACTTATTTTCAGTAGATGATGAGCAACTTAACCCTTAACAAAGCTTTTTCATTATGAGTGTAATAAATTCCATGCCAGCAGCGTGGCGTTTGTTAATTCAAACAGCTAATATTGCACGAGTGACTTCTCCTCTGTCGAATACACCAGCTATTTTGATAAATGATATCTTAATTCCAATTCTTGACGCTTTTTCAAAATTCAAAGCACATTAATCGGTCTTTTCTGGCGAAAAAACAAACCACACTTACCGCTAAAGAGAAGCTATTAGCAAAGTATCATCATTAACTATTGACTGGAAAAGAGATTAGTTACTATCTTTCTGTACAACATTAGAAACAAAACTTAGGGAATTTCAGTTCAAAATATTAAACCGTATCGTATTTACGAATGAGAAACGTTTTCGTTTTGATATGACTGAATCAGATAAATGTGCTTTCTGCCAAACTGAGGTTGAATCCATCTAGCATTAACTTTTTTCGTACAAAATATCCTGTGATTTTTGGAAACACGTCTTGTCCTGGCTGCAAGACACAATATTATTGTTGAGAATTTAAAAGAAGAGGATATAATCTTCGGTAAATTTGATGTTGGAGACGATTTCCTTCTAGTTAATCATATTTTATTGCTTTTGAAGTACTATATTTATTCACAAAAATGTGAAAAGGGTATGCCCTCCCTTCAGGGGTTCATTGTTAGGACTAGGCGTAATAACAACATTGAACTTTATATTGCCAGGAAAATAGGCACATTAAATAATAAACATCTTAGTAAGAGGGAAAAGTCAATCAATATAATGTGATCTCCCTACAATTGAATATTGTACATAAATATTAAGATAAGTACTTTCTATCAACTTAGATGTTGGTCTGCTGTAATAGTTTTCTTTTTTTTTTCTTCTTTTTTTTTTGCTATGCGTTCTTCCTGGATTTCTCACTCTCTTGGTGAGATGGCTTTAAACACCCCAGCGAAGTTGGCTGACCGGCCTCGTACGAGGGTGCACGCACCCTCCAGCAGTCCTTTTCTCCCCGTGAGTTTTTACCTGTTTTTTTAGTCAGGAGCCATAATCAGGGTAGGAGACCGCAACTAGTACCTTTTCTAGTAATGGGGTTAGTTCCATCGAAATAGCCAAATGTGCTATTTTTAGAACAAATTGTGCCGTCTCGTGTGACGCGCGCGCATTTTTTTGCGAGGGCGCTACCGAAAGGATGACCAAACAAAATGGCGTCTTAAATTACCTCAGTAGGAGATTAATAATTTGCATTTCTGTCATCATTGCTTCCTCGGAATTTGAGGGAGAACCTCTTTGACAATAACTCTAAATGTGAGGACTGTGAATGTACTGGCAGAATTTGAAGGAAATAATACTTTAAATATAATAATTTTGCCAGTTAACGTTATCCTCGGTAGCGTGGCGCAGTGGTCTAGGAACCGACTCTCCTTGCAGATGGTCCAGGTTCGATTCTCTGCTAAGTTGGTTTTTTCTTTGTTGTAGATATATTTTTCGTTTTGTTTTTGTTTTTAATCATATTTCCCCCCTTAGCTTGTTAGTCTCGCTTGCGTAAGCAAGTCTCTGCACCCGGGTCTCTGCAACGCGTTTTTCGCCCCGTGGGGGTACTCCCTTATATAGGCTATATAGGTATGAGCGGCGCTAAAGAATATGTTTTTTTAGCCGTTTTGGTCTGAAATAGGGTATGGTTTGTGCACTCTAGTCTTGAATTGGGTATGTTTTTTAGAAGAAGCTACTTCTTCATCATTTGGAGATAAGACCATTTCTCTTTTAATGTTTACGCCAACCGTGTACGTGCCGTAACCAGCTTGTCACGCGCTCCGGTCACGCGCCGGGCTCCAGGGCTTCAGG